GTGCCACCAACGTTCACCTCAGGTACCTTGGCCTGGAATCTCCTCTCACTTTTTGCCCTCTAGGCAAATCTCTCCCCATTTTTCCAGAAACCAGGCAATGTATCCACCTCAGTGAGCTTTCCCTGACTCCTCATGAAGTATCTTCTCTGTCTTCCTCTGTGCTATATATTTTGTATCTCTGTTATAGCACTCTCCACCTTTTTTGAAATTACTAGTTAATGTGTCTTTCCTGCCTATCAATTCCTTTAACTCAACTTTGCACCTCCATTGACCAACATGGGACCTGGCACATAGTAAGTACTCAATAAATACTTGATGAATCAATGAAAGGAGGCAATATAGTGCATCACCTTTAAACATCTGAAGCTTTTGAAGAAGATTAGAGTTTCTTGCCTCATCCCAGTTTTCTCTCAGCTGGCTGTCTTTCATGTATTGATTCTAAACTGCACTGTCACCAGCATCCTGAGGGCATTCACTGAATGCCCAAGTAAGAGAAAGAAATATGGGACAGAAGACAAGACAATCTACAACGCTGCCCTCAAGGAACTAAGACCAATGAGAAGATAAACACAGCTGAAGCAGCAAAATGTGAATTCAATAAGGACTCTAACTAATGAGCAATAAAACCAGAGTGTGTCTGTTATGAAGAAATAATGATGGAAAAGACCAATTAATAAAGGGATGTTGTCAAACACCATGGTAATTTTCATTATAATATTTTATTAGGCACAATATGATATTGATATTTTTCATTGAGGCTTGCAATAACATTTCTCCACTAACTGTATTCTTAATCCAGATGCCAGGCATTGATGCTGCTTACTCTCTCTTCAAACGCTCACGACGTTTAAAATCAACATTGTTGATCTGAGATACAGGGAGTGCACAGTTGTTTATGAAGCAAACTTGCTTTCAATATTTTGGTCATCCGAGTAAGCCTGACATATATGAAAGTTAAATATATTCTAAATCGCATAAAATCTCAATTCTTTGGACCAGATCTGAGGTTCCTATTACCAGGTGGTAGTAGTGACAATGTTGAGAAGCAAAATCCTGGAGTGAGAGCAGGGATGAGATGGAAACTCCCAGTAAAATCCCTTCTAGATGGCCCCTGCAGGAAAAAATGGAGACGAGGTCTTGGAGGCAGCGATCCAGACTGGAGATGAACCACGTAAGCCTTCGGGACCTCCCTCCCTGGAGGCACTACTCTGATGGTTGGAAATTTATGGACATCTACTGCCAAACTACCCACCCCCCTCCAATGCCGGCCACCCTGGGAGTGAAGGGATAAAGTCACTGGGACCAAAGCAGAGTGTAATCCATTCTTGGACTTTTTAATTTACAATTTGATGCTGCCTTCTCAGATCCTGTCTCTGCTCTAGGGTTAGCTTATGACTTAAAGCATAAAAAGACACCTCTATCTTTCTACTGTGGAAGAAGTTGTTTGGCCAGTGTCCTTCCTTGAGAGACAAACGACCAAATAAAATGACCATAGTTCCTGGGCCCTTAATGTTTCTCCTTAAACTTGAGAAATATCAATTAATACAGGTTTTCAGACATGGTAATGAGGACGAAGAGGTTGAAGCAAATGCACAAAGCCTTGTTTTCAAACCCTGGCCTTGATACTACAATTGACTTGGCCTGCCATAACTGATCTCTTTCCCCACGCAGGCTAAGAAACGTGTTAAAAGGCAACACAAGGCAAGCACTTTTTATGCCACTGTCACACAGCTTCTTCTTGACCTGTCTGACTGGCACAATATGTGTGAGTATACATATCTGCACATGTATGCGTCTGTGTATACATATATATATATTTATATTTAAATATAGAAAAACTCACTTTTTCACTGAACAATGGCTTACTTTCATTCACTGACTGTCCAATATTATAGGATTGGGACTTCTCAGCTAGAGTCTGTTTCTTAAAGACCAACCACTCTAAGTCCGTATGTGTGTGTATCACGCACACTATCACAATACAAATTAGACAAAATAGACATTTAATGGTGTAATTCACTTTAAAATGGTGCTATTATTAAAGCATTACTCTGTTTTCATTACTACTGCATATTACAATCGGCTTCCAACATGTCTGAGTGAAGAAATAAAACAACCTAATCACAGTGCCAATTAATAAGTCATGTAGTATATCAAAACGAAAACATTTTCACAGCATCCAAGAAAGACATGACTCCATTCTTGATTCGCTGCCTGTAGCTTGCTACACTTCTACCCCTACCATCCTTTGACCTATCCTAGTCCAATTACGAGCCAAAATCAATAAAAAACCCTTAGCAAATTTAATTGATTCTCTACAAAAAGATACAATAATCCACCAGCACACCCTCACCGTGTGCTGACATTATTTTCTTGGGTTTACCCAATACCATCGTGGTACCAATAACTACTTTCTCACGCTGCTCTCTCATCAGCTCAAATACTGTAACAGCAGAGCAATTTCAGGCAGGTTGTGAGTCTCTGAGAGTACTGCTTGCAAAGTGCATGTAAATTATTAGATTACATTACAAGCAAAAGACTCAGCAGTGGGTCACCATAGTGGAGCATTAATGTAGAACAAGTTGAATGGAACCCTTGCAGACAAGCTTCTCCAATGTGATTTTTTGGCAGGGAGGAGAAAGTGAGTAAAGGGGAAGGGAGGGCAAGGAATGATGGGCTGCTGAGAAATGAGGCGTGAGAGAACACGGGAGCACAGAGGGAAGGAGGGAGCACCCCCGGCCTCAATGGCTGGAGGGGGCAGCTAGCGGGTACCGCAGGAATAGTGAGGCTGGGGGAAAGGGAGCAGGCAGACATGAGCCCACCTCTGGTTCAGCTGAAGGTGTGGGTTGTAACCTCAGGGAAGCCCAACGAGTGGCTGATGGGGTTGAACTTAACTCCCTCGGCAGGATCCAGCCAGGGCAGCTGAGCTGAGGGACTGGGGCAGGATCTAGTCCAGGAAAGAGAACTAGCAGTAAAAGGAAAGGCTTCAGAGGTCCTGGGACTCTTGCTTATTTCACAGAGCAACCAATCAAAACCAAGGAGGAATGCTCCAAGCAAAGGGACCTGAAGATCTGAGGAGGAGGACTCAGGGGAACGATGGCAAGAGGGCCCCCAGCTCCTGTGTGTGCTCCATCATCACCACTGTCACTGGAGCCACACTTGATGCACACCAGGGATCCTGCCATGCACTATCACAGGTGACCCTCCCAGCCACCTTGGGAAGCTGGCAGCATCACCAGCCAGCCAGCCCTGTTTTCAGGTGATGAAAGAAACAGACTGAGTAGTTAAAGAACTTACCTACGGTCACACAGCTAGCACACAGCACACCTGGGCCTCTGGCCCAGGTCTGTCTCACTCCCAGCAGGCTTGTAACAACCATGTATGCTATTTCCCAACACATCCAGCCTCAGTCTGAGTTGCTCAAGACTGGCGCAGGCCTGAACTCGCCAACAAGGGGAAGATTGGTGGATCCAAGAGAGACAGAAGTAGGACAAACAAGGGCAGCTGGGTCCAAACCCAAGGCCCAGTTGGAAGTGTAAGCAAGCAGAAGCTGTGCTTGTAGAGTCGGGAAGTGCCGAGCTGGATCTACTGAGAAAGCAAACAGCTCTGCAGGGCCACGTGGCAGACTATCTGCACAGTTAACGAGCACCTGCTTTGGGCAAGGCACGGTGCTGGGGAAAAAGGGTAAACCACGGTGCTGGCCTTCTTGGAGAGGCTAGACTGCTACCCAGGAAATAACACTGTAAGACAGCGTCAAGGAACTTCGCAAAGGAAGAGGTTACATGTTTATTGAATGAGCAGGGCCCATATGACTGACACTGTTAAAAGACAGAGTGGAGAACTACAGGAGGGAGGGGGCGAGTCTCCTCCAGAGCTAAAATGATCATAGGATGTCAATCAGCAAAGAGAGACTGGGACATAAGACGGAAGACTGGGTGGGGGAGAAGAGGAGGGGAGGGTGAAGGCACATATAAGGAAGAGAGGCGAGAAAGGCCAACTTTCAGACACATGTAGAGGACAACCCTCAGAAGTGCTGGGCAAAGGTGACCCAGACAGTGGGCTACATGGAGAGTCGCCACCACTGGAATGTAAGATCTAGGAAGGCAGGGCTCCAGCCTCCCTTGTTCGCTGCTTTACCCCCCGAGACTAGCACAGTGCCTGGCACACAGAAGGTGCTTAGCAAATACTTGTTGAATGAAAGAATGCCACCATGGTGCTTTGACACAGTGAAATCAACTCCAAGCAAAGGGGGAGCCCAGAATTTACCTTCTAAGCCAGTGTAGGTAAATGCACGTCTAAATGTAATAGGATACTAACAAGCATGTGCTAAAAGCGGCATAAAGATACTGTAGGATTACAAATAATAAGTATTTAAATTATTTTCCCTCCTCTGCCTCCTCCCTAAAATCATAATGAGTAACACCTGGAATCAACATCAGTTACTGCGGAAACACTCCCAGCCCTCCTTCCCTCCCACAGCCAGGCCTTGGCCCGCAGAAAGGCTGCTCCTACCTCATGCCCAGGACAGGGTTTTTCAACCTGCACAGAACAGCCCATAAATGGATCATGAAACCAATTTGGTGGCTCATGACTTGTATTTCGTCTGTAAATAATAGAGCAAAAATAATAGTGCATGGAAGATAAAGAATAAATATTTTATGTGAAAAGTTTATGTCGTGTGTGTGTGTGTGTGTGTGTTGTGTGTGTGTGTATGTGCATGTGCGCACACTGGCTCACAATGTAGTATGCTTTTCTCATTCTAGGTGACAGAATAAATGCTTCAAAGACATTGCCCTACAGGGGCAAGAAATGCCAATATTAGGACACTCCTTTTCATATTCAAGCCTTGTTTTCCTGGCTGAATGCGACTGTCAAAGGTACTGTTCGCTGGGCCAGTAAACTTGGCCTATCCTGAAATATCAAGAAATTCTGTGTAACATACTAAGTTCAGAATTAGTTCCTTCAGAGTATCTCCAGTTTCACAACACAACAAACCATCATTTTGAAAACAAAAAATAAGATTTATTTTTTTCGAGTTACAAAATTAATACACGCATAATGCAGGAAACTCGGAAAATACAGAAGAGCACAAAGAAAAAAGAAACTCAAATAATCTCACTATCCAGAGATGACCACTTTATCATTTCATCATTTAGGTATATGTGGGCCGATGTTAATACACACAGACACACACACACATACAATAGTTTTTACAAGAATGATGCCACTCTGCACTCACTACTGTGGAAGCTATTACTTTTCACTAAGCAATAGATCACGAACATTTTCCCCATCAAGAAATATATTTTTCTACTGCAACATGATTTTTACTGGCTACATTGTATTCCATTCGCAGACTTGCTCTTGAGCATCTCTGTAAAGGACACAGCCTTAATCTCTGCCTGGAGGAAAGAAAACTGCAGCTGAGACACATCCTCCCCCACTGCGCCCCCTGGCTGCTCCAGCTCCACCCATCATCCCCAAAGCATGAGTACAAATGTTCGACTCCACATCCCGTATTTTCATTTCTACTAAACCAGAGCACGAGACACAGACGCTATTTTCACTATGCTTTAGGATGGCTTTACTGACACAGACAAGCTCACTGGCTAACTTTTAATTAATAATAAAAAAGCCCAGTGGGATTTTAAAAAGTAACAGTTACTGATACAATATGTTCCACTATTGACGCAGAGCCAAAATAACTCGTGCTTACTTTCAGACATATCTACTACCTAACGCTGGATTAACTTGTGTACACATGGTAAGATCCTCATGTTTTCCTGGGGGACAGGAACTTGATTTTGTACCTTACTGGAACTTCCAAGCATCGTGGCACAGCATATAAGTGGAAAGAATATTAGGTAAGGAAGTAGAAGACCTGTGTTCTTGTCACAGCCTTGCTACTTATTAGGAATGGGACCTCACACACATTCTTAGATGTCCATGAACATTAGTTTAAATGGCAGGGGGCGCATGGAGGGTGACAGGGGTGGCTAGACTAGATGATTTATCACATCCCTTTTGGCTCTAACAGGCTTTAGTCTAATAAAACATGACCAGTGGCAGCATGATGAGCGAGCACCACATAGTAGCTCAAGGTTAGAAAGCGAGCTTTAGAACTTTCTAGAACCCTTTCTGTGTAGCATCAGTTCTCCTACTGATTCTCTGTGGGGCCTTGAGAAAGTCTAGAACCTCACTAATCTTCAACCGTCATCCTTCACTCTGTGAAGTTCTACATCTTCTGGGTTAACAGTCTGGTCTACAGAAATTGCTCCTCCAAAGTGGGTCATGCGTGCCAGAAACGGTAAAATACAACTCTGGCAATTTCACATTTATCATCATCAGTCGACTAATATGATCACTAAAAGAAGAATCGTTTTTGATTATCAAAGTATTTCATTTGCCTTTGCTTTCCCAATGCTTCATTACCTGGACAATTGAGAGTTACAGGCAGTTCACCCTCCCAGCTGCCCTGTCCTTTCAGATATAACATGCTCGTCACACACACGTTCCTGGCAGCACATGCTTTATCGTTACAGTGGCCTATGACCCTCCGCTGGTTTTATAACTGTACAGTGAAAATGAAAAGGAATGCAGTTTATTGAAGAGTTTTCAGACTTGCTAAATATACCCTTGTTTCTTCTGTGATTTGTATGTTGCAATTCCATTAACTTCTATACAGCCACTCCTCCCCATGACTGGCATCGATCAAACAGGATGATATAAGCCTCTTTGCTTCTGGAAGTGCAGAATCACATCCGGTTTCTTTCCTCCGTCTTTGTCCATTTCTTCAGGTTTCTTTAAAACTAATTGGAAGAGTCAATAAACACACCCGCCAATTCCTTTAACACCCTAGGAAGCAGACATCGTGCCCTTCAGACCTGTTCCTGTTCTGTTTTCCCAAGTATTCCCTTACCTGCCTTTGTCAACTGGCATTCTCGACAAGTTCATCATAACTTCTCAAAGTGTCAACTTTTCCTCTTTTCATTGCCCTTGTTAAAGATAATTTAAAATTAGAAAGTCGCATTCCCAGCCACTTCAGAGTCAATGCTAATTTCATTTTCTTTTGCACAGAAGACTCTCCCTCTAGAGATTCCCTTCCTTCATTCACAGCCCCCACTCCCCAGCCCCAAACAGGCATTCTTAATCTCTGTAGGCACGACTCCATTCCCCTATTTCACCAGTCTTATCTTTCCCCCAAAATACTTCACCCAGCGAAACACACTTTAGCTTGTGGTTCTCCTTCCTTCACTCCACTTCTGAGAGAAATGTCTGTGTCTGGAGATTGTAAAGTCACCTTCAGGAAAGAGGCATACAGTTGGCTGTCAATTAATCAGGATAAGACAGAAAAAATTACTTCGTGTGCAGCTTTGCTTCTGAGTACATGCATTTATGCTTTGGGGATCAAGAAGATTTCTCCCACACAACCTAAAATTCATATTTATGCCTTTTGTTTGGCTATAACGAATTCTCTATCTAGCAGCACAGTAGTTAATAGTCTGGATTATTTAAAACAGTGATTACCATACCTCATCATACATTCAAGTGCTGGTCCCTCATTTTTCTCCCCCACTCTGTTTCACCTCGATTCTTTGCAACCTGCCTGCTTCTCCTCGGTAGCATTCTTTGCTTATAAAATAAGTCAAATGATTTTATATTCTGTAATTTTTAGTCCCACATCTAGCTTGACATATAGAATTTAAGCCAGTTTATTTTCCCCCATTAAGCACAGACCCAAACGTCACCATTCTTGTCACGTATACAATTCCATCAAGTTTCAGACTGTCATTTATCCACAATTTTATTTCTTCTTACTTCTTTCACACACGCCTACCACTTACGTACAGCAACTTCACTACATTCATATTTCATAAACTTCATCAGTATTCAGCCAAATCCTCCCCCGAAGTAAGCTAGGTATTTTTAACAGTGCGCTGCCTCTTTCACAGGCTTGAGGATCCTGTACTAAGTGGTACCCTTCCTTGTACCCCAGAAGAGTTTCTGTCTATCACGGTCGGTTCACGGATTAGGAACTTCCTAATTGCTTCCACACACTTTCTTAAAGTTCATAATCAAACTCAAATGCTCGGTAACATTGCTGGAGATGATTCGAGGCTAGGAGATTATAAATCCTCTGCACTCTAATTGTTTCTACTCTTTTCCAGCCTCTGACTGAGCTTCAGGGAAAAGAGCCCTAGGAGAGAAACTACCTGGGACAGCCTGGAGTCCTCCAGCACCTTCAAGAGCGTGGGAAACCTGTCCTCTTAGCTGGCAGTGGGCACTGCAGAGGGCTCCCCAGCCGGCCTCCAGGGCCTCAGATCTGTGGACGAGACAGTCACCAGGAAACCACAGAGCCACGCCACTGTCAACGTGCCCCAGCATGTAATGTGATAAGACAATCTGTAATAATGACGTGTCAGCTGGGGCCATAAATGTCTGTTAGGAAAAAAACTGTCCTTCCACCAACACAAGGGAATTGTTACCTGGAATTCCTTTTAACATTAGCATGTAAAAGCCACAGCAAAAAGCAAGCCTGCCTAAACCACGAGCTGCCGTATATGTATTCCTCATCACGCCCCATTCCCCGCATGGAAGGAGTTCTTTAGACAATCTCCTTGATGTCTTTACTCCAAAAGCAAAAAAAATAAAAAATAATTGGGCTGATACAAAAGAACGCCAAGACTCCCAAGCTGAATTTCCAACACTACGACATCAAAGATAGCTGCAGACTATCATTAAGTCAAGTAGGACGGCCCTGAGAAAGTCAGCCTCCGACGGATGCTGTGATTCCAGAATGCTCTCCATACTGGTCTGGTGAACAAGGCCTAAGCTTGGAGAGAGAGCTTCCTTTGGGGGAATCTAGATGTTCACTATTGATATTCTTGAAACTCTTCCTTCTACTTCTTGAGGTTCCTAACTTTCTCAATTTACAAGTCCTAGACCAAAGACACCACTTCAACGTATCTAAGGAAGAGGCAAAATCAGCTGGCATTCCTCTCTACCGCTACACAGGGGAGAAGTCACACAACGCGATGGCACTATAGTACATAACTTCCTTGTAAATACAACAGCCTGAATATCTGAGAATAATTCTACATCCTCTATAACTCAAGAGAAAGAATTAAGGCTCTAGACTCTGGTTGAAATTTTCCTATCAAGTAAAAACCTCAATTAACCAGAACCAAGTAATTGAAGTGAATTTCTATTTCGCTGCTTGCAACTTAACAGCACAAGGGCGCCAATAACAAAACATACTAATATGGAGGATTTAACAAAAGAAGAAAACAATTTCCAAGCTGGGATCAGGACAGATTTAGCCCAATCTCTGACGCTGTCTCCGTTTATAGCTCTATAACGTACAATCAGAATTTATCCTCAGAACAGTGACCCTGTGGCACCAGAAGATCCTCAAAGTGCAAAGAAAGATTCGATTACATTCTCAATGTTCTTTCTAGGGTAGCAAAGGGGACCAGCACATTTAAAATATATATTCAAGAAGGAAAAGTCAGAAAATATTTCTGGCTAATCTACTGTTAGCCAGAAACACCAATTTATCAGTAACACCTTGGTACCCTTATAGAAAAATCAGGCTTTACTGTATATTAATCAACATTCGAACACTGATTATTTGGAGGGATTTTTCTGAAGCTTTAATGCAAAATGATTCAATTTTATTTTTCTTAACATACTGCCTAATAAGATGGGTGAAAAATTTAACACCTTATTTCCAAACCAACACTTCGCAATATGAATTAGATACAAAAAAAGGGGGGAGAAAAACCCCAATTTAAAAACTGATAGAAGAGAGAACACCAGAGAGAGACAGAGAGAGACAGAGGCAGTCCCTAAATTCTGAGCAAGGAAGACGTCTTCATATTCAGAAAGGTACCCAACATTCTAGGTTAGTGTTTACCCCAGCACCTCCAGGCCTCCCAAAGCAGACTCTTCTTGCCCGGTGGCATCCATCATTCATCTGGGATGACTGGGTCAGAATCTCCTTGAGGGAGCAGACATCTACCTCAAAGTTCCTGCACACTGGCTCACGGAAGACAAAGAGGTGAGCAGCAGTATATGTCATATGAGGAGAGCTGCATTTTCTATGCTATTTTTTTTGCACATGAGGCAGTCACATTACAACTCTTTCCCCAGACACCTGAAATGTTGTTATGTATTTATTTTGCTTCTACAGACACAGAGGTACATATATAAGCTAAGAAGCACAATTCATCAAGTAGACTAGGAAGATGGAGGGAGAAAGGAAGAGCACACTCAGAAAAACTGGCACATGCTGTAAGAGACCGTATCACACGAACAGAATTTCCAGGGACACCCAACTCTGTCTGTCCTTCCAACATCACACCACAATGTCCTACTGGCAAAATGGGAGAATCTGGAGAAAAACATGCTCTTAACTCAAGTGACAAGAGGGTGGCTCAAGGAGAAGACTCGGTGGGCTTGTCTCACTGGCATTCCAAAGGTCAGCTCCAGACAGGAGTCAGTTTGCTACCAAAAATCCTCAGAACATTTCCATCCAGAGGCACAACTATTGCAATGCACACTCTTGCACCTCCGTGCATCCCACTTAGGAGTCTGGTGTGGAGCCAGCAGTGTGTGCTGTACCCGCCACCTCTGCTGCCTTGAAAACACAACTTAAAGGTCTCATGGTTAGGGGGCTTCCACGCCGGCTCCATATTTCAGTTTCAGAAATACATTTTCTAAAGCCAAGGGCTCCTCATAATGCCAGTAAGTTTTGGAAAATTCCAGCAGGTGACTAACATAAAAAGAGGCTGCTATAAATGTTTTTAGCCACTCAAGATTTGACTTCTGGATTAATAATTCAATTCTTTTTAAGAATAAAGGGGAAGCAACAAAAAAGGTTATCATAACTATTATCAAATGCATTTTCTAAAATGATTCTATTACATTTTTATAAAGGGTATAATTATAAATGTTTTTATGAGCAATTTACCGGAAAATTATAAAGTCCCTTCGTTTAAAAAATAATTATTCCATCCCTCTGGCAAAGGACTTTATCCTAGCCAGTAGCTCTTTCAAACTATGGGGCATCATTTGTTCAGTGTGGAGGGCCATGTCCGTGTAAGCAAAGCTGATCTGAGAATCAGTCTCTAGAAAGCGCTATAAATTGCCAGGCAAGAGCAGCCACCAGAAAGTGAATGAGCCAAGACTGAAGGGGGGAATGAAGGCGAAGCACTTTCCAAGCCAAAGACTTATGTGGGTCTCGAAGTCCTCAGGGTTACAAATAAACCACAGGCCTTGTTAACTGATTTTAAGTCAATCTAAGCTGAGCTTCCAGGGGGTTCCATCTCAACCCAACTGAGCTTTTCAGTGTTAATCCCATCATCTTTTGGTTTCGATTTTTCCTTTAGGTCAGCCTGCCCTAAAAGCCTTCTACCTTCCACACTGGTGTTCCAAACCAAGCGCGTGGCACACAGCCCTGTAAGGATAACTTGAGTGAAGGAAAATATGTAAGCTTCTGGCATGCATATAATAACGAGATTCTGGAAAAGGGTTTTTAACAACAGTTATGTCACAATGCTCATGGCTCCCTAAAGTCCTCAAAAGCCTTGTTAAATTAAAGATTTGCTGTGGTTTTTTCCGCTTCATTCTTACTTCCCACGTTGCCTCTTGCCTTTCTTTTTTCCCTTTCATTGTGCTGCGAAGATGAGACTGAATGACACCAGCCATCAATACCACCTAGAAAACGGAACAGTTTCATTAAAACTGTTAACATTGCCTGCCCAGTTTTAAGCAGAAGGGGAGGTTGTCTTTCAGATTATAAAGTCACACATCTGATTCTGGAAGCTCAGGCACTAAACGGACAGTCCTTTGACATGTGGCTTCCCAGGAGTTCGGAATTCAGCAACAGCTTCAAGTCTACCTAGGAGATGTCTCATGAGGTCACCTCAATGTCATGAGAATCCAGACCACAATCTCTGTGCACTGCAAACGCTGGCTGGCTGAAAGCTAACCCCACTACCTCTCTGGAAAGCATCTCCCAAATCAGAAAGCTTCCCACTTCACCCTCTGCCAAGAACTCCACTCAACCCTCCTAGAGGTTGAGAATGCTAATTATAAAGTGATGATATTTGCTTTTCCTTTGGAGTTGTGTGCCTTTATGTTTAAGTATTAAAAAGGTGTAATCACCTAGTGTGTAGGTTAATTTCTTTCCGATATTGTAATTTATGCAACATTAATACTGGATGCCAGCTCCAATTTTCTTGCTGCTTACACTCTGGGAGCCGACTTGCATATTCTGCCAACTCCATTACATCATCTGAAAACCCAAACATTTCCCATTTTCAAATCACTCTCATCTACTGGGCATACTTACACATTCTCTTTTTCTCCCTAGCTCACACACACAAAGATTGGTACCCCTGAGGAGAGATGCTACATCTGAGGTTAAAGTCTGCAAATGCACATAATTTCTGGAAGCTATTACTACTGCTGTGTTAGCTAAAGGATGCTTCCATCTCTGACCTTCCTTTTTCCACTCAGACTGTTATATAACCTAGTGCCTGCGTGCAGGATGTGAGTTGAGTGTCTGGGCCTTACCTCGTCTCCCTCCCCCATTAAATCTCCGGAGGGATGACACGGGGTTGGTTCAAAAAAGAGTGAGTGGGGGGTGGGCCTCCAGGGGGCAAGGGGATATGGGTCAGCAGGTCAGCTGTGCAAGATGCATCCCACCCCCACTTTGTCCCTCTCCCCTTTTTGCTGAGCCTAGGGGGCTGGTGGTACTGAATGCCCCAGCGTTATATAATTTGCAAGAACAGCAAGTTACGGATTTGCTAGTGGGTTCTGCAGCCTGCCAACCCAATCACTTACAACACCTTCTGGCAAGAATGACACCTGAAGATGCTAATAACACGGGGCGGGGGGGGGGGGGGGGGCGTTAAGAAAGAGGGGGGTGGCAGCACAAACCAGAAATTAGTATGGCTTCCTATATACTGTGTCCCCTCTTCCAAAAAAAAAAAAACCTTCAGAAACACATGAAGGGGATTTTCTCCAGTGTTTCTGATTAACCCTGTTACATAACCCGCTCGCATTCCAAATCCACCGTCTCAGGGTCTAAATATACTCTTTGCAGCCAAAAGCTCTCCACACACAAACTCCCCAAGCTAGCGGCAGGTCCCGGCCCCCGGTCCCTATCCCCCTCCCTTCACTCCCGGCCTTCGCTGCACCCCCTCCCGCTCAAACCGCGGTTCGGTGTGTTCGCTCTTCGGAAATCGCCTTTAATTAAATGTTTTTCGAGTGTGTCATCCTGATTGCTTTTACTGTACTCGAATTCCGTGAATGGGAAAGCGCCCGGACAGGGGGTGTGGCTAAGGGTGGGGGGGGGGTACGGGGGGAATACTGTAAAACAGCCAGCACATGATCAGCCATATTCCTACCTCCAACTATAACCAGAGGAAGGGAGCGGCTCCCGGGGCCCCAACTCGCCTCTCCCCAGCCCTCCCCAACGCCGCCAGAAGCCGAGTAGCAAGAGGAGGGGGCACGCTGGACTAGCGCCCAAGCTCGGATTGGAGATCCTCTCTGTCCCCAGCCCTGGGCGGCTCGCGCGAGCCCGCTTCCTCCGGAGTGACAGGCGTGATTTATACATTATTTACAACAGTAATTAAAGCCGTAGCTTCCTCCTGTTCTTTGCAAACTCCAGGCGCATTCAAATAAACAATCCCCACCCCCAAGAAAAACCCAACACCAGGTTCCGACACCTTTAAAAAGAGGGAGAGAGTGAGCTTTCTCCAATACTCCACCTTAACTAGGAAAAAGCAAGGAGGGGGCGACGGATCTCCCCAACTACCCCCGCTCCCCCCCCCCCCCCGCCCGGCAACACACTCTAAAATGAAGTGTAAAAATCGCTCGGGGAGGGGGGAACATCGCTTGCACTATCCAACCAGCATTCAACTCGCACTGACCATTCCCAGGTTCTCGCAGAAACGCTTGGAACCTCAGGGAGGGAAGGATTCTCAGGGCAGAAATAAGTTTGGGTGCCTTGCGATCTCTCTCTTTCTGCTTGTTTGCTTTTGTAGACGCCCGCTCCGAATGCGCGGGGAGCGCCCCACCGGACCGCCGGCCTCGGCGCGCTGGCGCGCACACGCCCCCCGCCAGCCTGGGCGCGGGGCTGCGAACCCCGGGTCCACCAACTTGCCCACCTCCCCTCGCCGCGCCCGCCACCTAACTTGGCGAGCACCACGCACGCCCGCACCCCTCTTCCTCCAGATCTTTCCCCGTATCCCAAACCCAGCACAGTGCTCCAGAGAAGGTGCCCACGTCGCCCCCAGATCCAGGAGCGCCCCCTCTCCACCCCCCGGGGCTTCCCAGATCGCTCACTCCTCTCGCTCCCCTCAGCTCTGAGGGGGCCGAAAACACACCCCCGACTCGGGCAGCCGGGGCCGAAACTGTCAAGAGGAGAAAAGGTAAAGGGGGAGGAGGGTGGCCATAAACAGATTTCTTTTCCTTCTTAAAAGGACGCTGCCGCTTTAAAAGTTTCTTTCCCGGGCCCCCACTCTCCGGTTCTCCGAATTTTGGGGGAGCGTATTTAATTTCGGCAACGCTGCTTTCCTCCTCTCTTTGCAGAAAAATCAAAGCCAGGGGGTGAGCCCGCCGGCTGTCAACCCTCCTGCCGCCTCCCCCGCCCCCCTCTCCTCCTGCAACCCGAGAACGGGCTGCAAAAGTTTGCAACATTTCTGGGGGGCGGAGGGGGGAGGGGAGGGGGGTGCTCCGGGCTCGGGGCGCCGCTGCAGGCTCGCGCGCGGCCCCGGACCCCGCGCCCCAGGCGCCCGCTCCCGGCCGCCCCCCGCTGCGCGCCCGGGCTCCCGCCGCCCCCTCCTCAGCCCCTCTCGCAGCCTCCTACCTCTGCTGGTGCTGGAATAGCTCTGTCTGCGCACCGGGGCGGGCGGCTCGCTCTTGCGGGCGGATTCCTGGTTCAGCGGGGTCTCCCTGGAGCCGGCGGCCGCGTCCGCGCCGCTGCTGCCCGGCTCGCTGGCGGCGGGGTCGGGGGCTGCCGGAGCTGACTCCATGTTTTTTCCCAATGTAGAGATCGCTGGAGATGGCGAGCTCCGAGACTCCCTCTATCTTCTGTTTTCAGAGCAACTCTATGGTACCAAAAAAAAAAAAAAAGGGAGAAGGAGACCGGGGAGAGCAGGAGGGAGAGAGCAGGCGGCGGCGGGCGGGCGAGCGAGAGCGCGAGGGAGCGCGCGGAGTGTGTCTGGGTGGACGTGTGTGTGCGCCGGAGAGGGGATGGAGGCGGGTCTGGCCACAGGCAGCGCTAGCGAGAGCTTCTCCAGCCGGCCCCCTCACCCACATTCCCCACCCTCCAGACCCCAGACCGAGAGCCACGGACTGGCTGCCAATTTTGAGAGGTGGGAAAAAGAGGGGAGGAGGAGGGGGGAGCCTCCCGTGCCCCGGTCCTCCCCTCTCCCCAGCGCTGGGACGGAAATTTAAGATCGGCAAGATGATTCTGTGCCTACTTCTGAGACTCTCTCGGGGACAGAACTCGTCCCCATCCCCAGCCAGCATGGGAAGAGATAAATCCGATTATCCACCTTGGGGAATCGCAGGTAGCTCCCCGCCAGCACAGCCGAGGACTGAGAAGAAACTAAAAAGGAATTAGACCTGGGCTGGCATCCCAAGGAAGGCAGAGGATGGCAGGACGTGGCACTTCTTACTTCGGGATGGGACGTCCAGTGGGTTTCCAATCTTGGTTTGATAGATCTGTGTCTAAACCAGATTCTGTGAGTCTAGAATCGCCATAGACAGCCAATTTCTGGTGTGGTTGAAAGAGGTCGCTTTCAGCTCCTTTGCTGTTTCCTCCGCGAAGGATCCAGAAACCACTTAGCAGGGCAATTTCTAGCGAAGAAAACTTTGGCCTGTCTGTTCGATCACTATCTAAGCGGGATGAAATATGCCACATTGCATCTAGTTCATGCGTGGCTGCTAATTGTCAATTCCCACTGGTACTTTTGCTATTAAATGTACAGTTTCATCCATAAAAGATATACTGGAGAGGCATTAATAATGTCTGGATGGTAAAATTCAGATAATTAACAGCTCCTAATAAGTCACATCGTTATAGGCATCATTCTACACTCCTCTTCTATTGAAACTCACTCATCGCCTAGTAGTTGCTTAATGAAACCCAAGGAAAGTGGAGAATTGCATCAGTGTTGCCTTGACCCCAACTCCAGTATGAAGGAAGAGTACAAAGTGGGTGAGTGGAAAACATTCCGTGGTAGTAGTCCGATTTCTCTGCCTCAATACGCAATCCACTATTTCCTATTGCCTGCGGAGGAGCTGATGAAATCAGTACATTTTCAACGCACACCCCCACCTTCCTTTCTGAAGGCTCGCAAATTTTGACAATAAAAAATATTATTATATACCAGAAGGTGGCATAAATATCTGTATTTAAGGGGGTGGGCTGGGAGCGGGAATTAGGGAACATTTTGCTTTTGCTAATTTCCTGGGTTTGGAAAAATGCTTTTATAAAGAGGAACCTCCATATGCCAAACTTCACACATGGTTTGTGTTACTGTTACTGATCTTGGTCTGATTTCAGATGCACAATGCTATTTGCCATGGTCTGTGTGTTAATCAGCAAAACCTGTGGTCCACTCTTGGGAGTGATGGAAATGAGATGTGAACAGTTCTGATACCTTAATCCAGTCTCTGCAAGGATCCCTGGCTCTAGCCTGTCTGTTGGCGCCTACAAACAATGCCATGATTGTCTCCTCCATCCCAGATCAGATGTGTGGGTTTCCCCATACATCAAAGCACACATTTCCAGTGCAGCCGTCACTCCATTTACCATCGGTTAGCCTGCTAATAATGTTCTTGATGCAACCGGCCTAGCTTGTCCCTCTTGACTTTTCTAAGTAAATAAATATTTCGAAGTGCACAGTTTAATAAACGAGTTCCTCTGGGACAGTGTCTCAAAATACATCGACTGCTTCATATTTATTTTAGAATCTTTGAAAAAAAACTTTTCATATTAAATTTCACCAATAATTCTATTTGGGACACAAGTGGCTTAAAAAAAAAATCCCTGGCTCCTTTTTGGGTGCCAGTAGCCACTTGGTACCATTTTTTGGTTAACTCAGTTCTCCTGGGCCTTTGATTGGTTCCTTTGAGGTTCTCCTTTGACTAAGCTGGTATTCATTCCGCCTGGAAAGACCTTCCTGAAAATGATCCTAGTGACCTTAGTCTATTACGATAGACTCAATATTCCCTTCAGCAATAGATTCCAGCTCCAAAAAGCCACTTCTTCTAACTCTAAAACAATTACTGCCTCTGCAATTTAAAACAATTGGGAACGCCAGTGCTTTCCCCAAGGGGGAAATAAAAGTGAGTTAGATACATTCCTTGACTGTCAATCATTGTTACTAAAGTGTAAATTACCTGGACTGGGGAAGCATTTTGAAACTGAAAAGCACAGTGATTAGGTTTATATTCTTTTCTTCCCGCATGCCCCTTCCCTGATTACGAATTAAGGCTTGCCAATTTTCCAAATTTTGGGAAAGATGGGAGCTCTTCCTTAAACTCTGCTTATTGACAAAGGCCAATAGTGTTTGCTTAAAAATGGTTATTTTGACTTTGCACTACTGAGTTCCCTGACAGACAATAGCTTAGAAAACCTATGCTTTGTAGAAGAGATAAGCCTAAATCCATTTTTTGCAGACTCCTCCCTCCGTCCCTAAACTCAAGCTCCCTACCTCCTTGCTGATCCCAGGCTCCCCTCTCAGTGGTAACACTCACTAGTTTTCTCTTACTCCAAGGTACTTACCGGAACCTCAGAATTAGCTTTGACTCCCCTCTCTCACTCCTACCCCTAGCTCTCCACATCCTAACATATTTGCCAAGTTCTTTAAATTCTACTTCTGTGACATCTGCCCTTTTCTGAGGCCACCACTCAAGGTCCAGACATTATTGCTCACCTAAACCGTGACAGGAAACTTCCAAATAACCGGCCTTCAGTCTTATAACCATTCCAATCCATCCCAGATAGCACTGCCAAGTTAATTACCCTGAACTACAGCTCTCATTTGCCACCATGCCACTCCCCTGCTTACAAGGCTTTAATGGCTCCCCATTGCCTATCCAATTAACTACTAACTAGTCAACATGGTATTCAAGGCTCTACTTCACTTACCATGGGACTCCTGCACCAGGGATGGCAAGTCGATCATGTCTCATGAAGGAAGTCCTGAAATTGCTTGGAAAGGTGCAGGCTGTGATTGATTAATGCTTCCCATGGGTGGAGGATTGGGAGTGTGAGATTCATGCCAGGAGTTTGCCAAACTGCCTGACATCCTTACATAACCCCTGCAATCCACCACGTGTGATCCCGAAACCACGCCACGTGCTACTTCCTACTCCTCTTCCTGCTTGTAGTCCAGGATACAGAGACAGTTCCCTCTGCCTCTTCCCTTGAAATGGCCTTCCTGACTTGTCTGTTCAGTGAAACCCTACTTTTCATTCAAGGTCCATTCTAAAAGGCAACACCTCTGTGGAAACTTCCCTGATATACCCCAAACCACATATTGGGACTGTCTTAGCGCTTTGCACCCTGCTTAAGGCACTTGATATACTCTCTCTCCCTTGTGCTATGGTTGGTTGAACATTTGCCTTACCCTCTGTCACGAAAGATGCATTCCTCGAAAACTTGTGCCCTTGCACACAGTAGGCACTCAGAATTAGTGGATTTGAGGAATGGAATTGATGAACTAATCATAAGGTAACATGTCCACACAGTGATTCCATTATACAACGAGAATGAAAACCTAAGCATTTCAACTTTCAATCACTTGAAATAAGCCTTTCCTTCCAGGATAAAAGATTAGTTGACATGTATGGGCTGTTAAAATTTATATATGCAAAAAAAGTTGACAGTTATTTTCTTTGCATTTCTTGGAGAAGGAGAGAAGGAAAATTACGGAAATGTAGAGTAGAATTTCTTTGGGAGAGGGGAGCTTTCTACAACATGCCTAAGAACAAAGAAGACAGAAAATTAAAATGGAGAGCCCAGACGACAAGTTTCCTTTCTTTCAAAAAAGCCTCAAGAAGCTGAAGCTGGACTCTATGCTGAAAATAGAAGAAGCAAATGAAAATGCAGCACCGCTCTCGGGCATGGGAGCGGCTCCAACCTACTGCGAGGTTTGTAGTCAGAGCAGTCCCAACCAGGAAAGTTCAGGCTAAGAAGAGCCCTCTGTACGGATCCTAGAAAGAATGGTGTAAACCTGAAGTCCTCATGGATGGGAACAGGAGAGCCTGGTTTTCCAGACACCAGGAAATAACAAGGAAGATTAAAGCATGCAGCATCCGCACTGGATGATCCACTCCACCCCTCTCCCCATTTTGTAGATGATGAAACTAAAATGCAGAGAAGTGACTTGCTCAGCACCACCCAGTTAATCCAGTGGCATGATGTGGTCATTTCAGATTACCTGAATTCCACACCAACTCTGCCACATACTAGCAGAGTGGTCGAGGAAAGTCACTAATTATCTCTATGCCTATGTTTCCTTATCTATAGTCGAAGGTTGTTAGGAGAGTTAGATGAGATGATCCTTCTGAAATGCTTGCCACTCACAATTTTGCTATTATTCATATACATCTTACAGGGTTTAATAAAATACTGTATAAAATTGCACTGTCCAATACAGGAGCCACTAGCTACATGTGGCTGTTGAGTCCTTGAAATGTGGCTAATC